CGTGAGCAAATTTTAGACTACAATTTATAAATAAGTAGGTATTGACTAAAGACTGTCTATAGTAAAGCACCTAGATATAGATAAGTAAACAGAATAAATAAACTCTATCCTTAAAGCCTACCTCTAGGCATACTACAACTGGTAATAAAATAATTAGATAAAGTGGCTTCCTATAGCTTAAATAGCTATTAAATGGCGAAAAGCTATATTAATAGGAGTTAACTTATTTTTCTTATCTTACAGTTAGAATATTAAACTAGTTAAAAACTTTAGGGCACGGAGATTAGGCTTAAAGCTTAAAACTAATATAAAGAAGGTCGCAAAGGTAATAATAAAAAAGTTTAAAAAGGGGTTTAATTTTACTTAAGTAAAAATAATAATAGCCTAACAAGAATAAGAACGCCTAGCGAATTATTAACGTAAAAACGTCCTAATATTAAAAGAAGGAAACAAAGTATAGCTAATATATAAAAACTATCTTTAAAACTAACGTCTAAGTAAGAAGCTTAATTAGAAATAAAAAAAGTTTACTATAAAGAAGGTAATAAACTCCTATATAGTAGAACTAGATATTCCGCCGAACATGCACCTAAGGTTCTACGTAAATAGGCTAAAGGTAGCCTTATTAAATCCTCTCCCTAGTTAAACTACTAAAAATGCCTAGCCCGAAGTAATTATAAGAAAAGAGAGGAAGGAAAAGTATAGTATAGTGAATATATATAAAGAACGCTAGTTCTATAAAGATAAAAAAGTAAAATACTTAGTATAGTAGAAAAACAACTTTTAAAGAACTTAAAAACTTTATAAGAACCTTAACTAAGCTACTACATTCGACAATTAAGAAAGGTTTACTAATTTATATTAAAATCGTAATAGAAAACTCTTAATAAAATTCTACTATAATATCCTCTAAATTAGCTTTATTAAGGCCTTAAGGAGGCTCTACGATGCCTATCTTACTAAGTTAAAAAACCTAACTAGATAAAAGTGTTTAAAAAAAGGGTAGAAATAATATTATTAAGGAATTACATTAAGTATTAGAAAACAAAGTTGAAAAGAAATCTTAAAAAAGTAACTTAAAAAATTCTAAAAACTACTAGTAATAATAAACGAACTAAATAATTCTTATAATAATAAAAATTAACACTTATAAAATAAGTAAGTTTTAAAAGTAAACTAAAAGAAAAAGAAAAGAGAAACTAGGCAAATAAGGCATTTTTAGCTACTAAAAAAATAGTAACACCTTTTTTAATAATGTTTAGGTCTACTTCTCTACCCTTTAATATACTACTAGGGCTAAGGAAGCTATTATCCTTCTTACTTAAGTACTCTTTAATTATAATAGCCTAAAGCTACTAGCGTAAGCCTTAAGAGGATTAAGTAAGCCTATTAGCTCCCGTGAGGATATTATCTATTATTTAGAAACTATCTATTATAATGTCTTTATCTACCACCACGAACTTACTAAAGAGCTACACAATGGTAGCCTTAGAAGATAGCTTTATTATTTAAAAAGAACTTATAAAAGGGTTCTTACACTGTTAATAAAATACTTTAAAGTTAGTAGTATAAATTTAAAAAAAAAAAAGGTTAAAAGTCTTTTTAACTGCAACAGCGATACGCTCTAAAAGCTAAATAGCTTTAAAAAAGAGGTAATAAGGCCTAAAGTAATAGTAGTCTTACTCTTAAAGCAAGTATAGTAATTAATAATAATAATCTTACGAGTAGAATAAAACGCGTTAAAGTTAATAAAGAAGGCCTTTCATTTCTAGCTACTTTTTAAAACCTTATTTAGAAGGTAATCCGCACTAATAATTATAATATTAGTAAACTTTTTATAGCTAACTTTATTAAGGGTAGGCTAAATCTAGGTAGGGGAAGAAGTTAGTAAAGCACACCCTAAAGTTATCTAAAATAAGTTAGACTAAAGCATACTTGTCTAGTGTAGCTAGTAAGCTTATAGGTATAGTACTCCTTATAGGACACCTTCTTGCCCGCTAGCACCTACTAATAAACGTGTTTATAAGTAATATAATTAATATACTAGCGCTTAATTATCGCGTGTAGCAAAATAAGACTCTAAAAGCTAAGCTTATTAAGTTACCGAGTGCGTACACCTAGGCTAATAAAAAACTAAAAAGGAGGTTAGAAAAGTAAAGAGATAAGTTAGAAAGTAAGAAGAAGTAGAGAAAGCGTAAAAAAGGGTCTAGAACTTACTTTATAAGCATTAAAAAGACTGAACTTTTTAATAAGCTAGCTAAGAAGGATCATGCTAGTGTTAAAAATAGTAGTTTTATTTTTAAAGAGCTTAGTCTTTTTAAGTTAGTAGCTAAGTAACTATAACAGGGACAGGCCTTCTTTTATTTTATTATTAAAATTAGTAGCACGCCTTTAATACTTAAAAGTCTTTATTACGTAGCTATTACGCAAAGGGCTAGCTATTTTATTAAAATAAAAAGAGGAATTAGATTACAAAGTTGAAAAATACTAGGCTAAAAGTAAGATATTATAGCGTATAAAGCTAAGCTAAGAAACGAAAGAGCATAAAAAAGTAAAGTTTAAAAGCTAGGCAAGAAGTAATTTTATATATATAATAATAAGTAAACGCACTAGCGCGAACATACCACTATAGTAACTACTTATAGTAAGAATATAAAATTAGACACGCGAGAACAGAACTAGTAAGAGGTTTATAATAGTAAGAAAATTATAAGTAGAAAATAAAATAATCGCGAAGCTATATAAGTAAGATAAGACGCAGAGGTTTTTTTTTTTTATTAATAAAGAGAAAGAGGTATATAATAAGCTACGCCTAATTATTACCTTAAATCCTTAAACCTTAGTTATGTAAACTCTAAATATATAAGTTCAACGCTTAAAGCTTAACTTCGGACTCTCTATTAAATTTATAAGTATTCTTCTAGCACCTTTGACTCCTTGAGCATCCAGCCCCTTACAACTATAACTTTTAGAGTATGCGTTATATTTATTATAGCTTTCAAATTTTACTCCTTTCTCTATATTTACGATACGCTATTATAATAAAATATAAGTTCTTTTTATACTTAATAATATATCTCTAATAAAAAAAAGAGCATTTTAATATATTATATAAAAAGGTAAGGGAAGAAGAGTTATTAGAGCATATTATAATAGCTAGCTAGCAGGCTTTTAAAATCTACTTATATAACCTAAGCTTTATACTACTAAAATTTTTAGTAATTAGCTAACTAGTTACTCTTTTAGTAGCTTATTAAATATTAAATTAATTAGATTAAGCCTTTAACACCCTTTAGAGCTTAAAGGCCTATATAAAGCTTAGTAATAACTTTTACTATTAGAATTTTTCTTATAAAGCACCTGCTTAGTGCTTAGTATAATAGTTAAAGCTATTATAAAAGCTAATAGTAGTATACCTTAGCTTAAGGATAGGAATTAATAACTTAAATATTAACTAACTAGTACTAGGGTTACTTTTATAAAAAAAAAAGTAGGTTTAAGGTAACATAAATAAGTACTTTAGTAATATTAAAAGTATTAAGGCTATAATTAATTGCGTAGCCACTTTATAGGTTTAATAAAAAAGTACTTTGCTAGAAAAAGAAGTTTAAAAAGATGTAGTAATAGTAGTAGCGCTTACTCTTAACTTTATATATACTAAATAGTAAATATGATTATTATTATTATTATTGAAAAATCGCGATTCAAAATAGTGCGGCTATCTTAGGTGGAATGGCCGAAAAGTATATGGCCGAGCTTACCTATTAAGGTGCTATGATGGGTAGTAGTGGTGGTAATTAGGCTTATAAATGGGTTGGGGTTGGGTCAGATCCGCACGGACTAGAACACTAAAAATCTAACCTTTACTTCTTAATATCTTACTGAATACTAAAGATATATTAATGCGAATTTAATACAACATGCATATATAATAATAATAATAATAATAATAATAATAATAATAATAATAATAATAATAATAATAATAATAATAATAATAATAATAATAATAATAATAATAAT